TTTTTTGAATGCGAATGCCACCCCCGTCCCCCGGCGTTCATGGGACTCCGACGGGGCGAGGCAGATGATGAAACTTCCTTTCACCAATCTAATTAATCTCTGCAGGATACCAATAGTCGTCTTCTTCTTCACAATCGCAGGGGCTGTCTCGCGTACCACAGACAGACTTGAGGGTCCATATAACACAATGGAGTAAGGTTCACTATTAAATGGTACACAATATTAATCCGACAGGATCTGGTCAAGTGAACCAGCTCAATGAACAAACTGAGTCAATCCAACAGACTGACCAAATAAACCCAGTGGCACCTAGTGACTGGAAAAATAAAATCACATAAAATTAATGCGCCAGGAACTATAAATTAACTAAATTAACCTGGCAGTGCCTGACACTAACGCCACATACAATGAAACACCTAGCTGTTGTACAAATAAAATGCCTGAACAAAGCAGTAAATGCCGCCCACACCAGCCCCAGGCTATACAAGAAGCAGGGCACGTTGATCAAAAAAATTAACAACGTCCACACAGCAAACACTGGCTCCCAACTCAGCACAAACGCACAGGCATGCACCCAACCACATACACAAACAATACGGGGTAAATACAATGATAAAAATGAACAACGTCACAATAAAATCAGCAAAATCGCCTCACCGTGCTAATCACAAAATGCGACTAACTAAGCAGTCTATACAATCTACCGAGAGAGTGCGTCGCTGCCCCAAAGACGCCGCCAAAAAAAGAAGACTCGCCGTGGTTTCCCGAAAAAGAGTGACCAGAACGAATCTCGCCAAAGGCCTAACACGAAATGTGCATGCAGTGGAAAATTCCCTAAGATGATAACCACAATTAGGAAAAATCACGAGGTGTGCAACGGGGGAATGATGCAATCTCGGCGGCGACGCACGAACAACTACACAGGACGGGAAAAAGTGCTATCACTACCCACAAAAAGTTACAATGATGTAAATCACAAAGTTTTGATGCAATAAAAGTTCACGCGATAATTGTTCAACATTTGATTGCAATCAAAGACGTTTCGGGGCTCCTTTCCGAACAGTTACGGTTACAGTTCACCTACCAGTCACGACGAATGACAAATGATAGAATCTTTCGAATTTCACCAAACACGTGAGTAATTATTGTTTTATACACTCACCTGGTATATCATATATTTTGGCTTGTACTAAATAATGTTCAGTGATGCTTAAGATGATTATAAAAAATAGTGCATGGTATTCTATTCATGTTTACAGTGGAGAGATATTTCTAAATAGAAAACTGGATCGAGAGAATGTCGAAGAACATACTTTGGTGTTACTAGTACACGACGGGAACCGGACAGCGTACGTATTTACCATTAATCATGTGACAGACGTGTTTTAAAAAATGCCTCCTCCATCCCAAGACATTGATGTCTTTTCGTACGACTGATTGTCATTCAAATAAGTACCTTAGTGACAACAATAGTCTGTTGATCTTTTACAGAATGATACTACTGTTCTCTCAGTCGTTGTTACTGACATTAATGATAATGATCCTGTAGTAACTGCGTCGGAGTATAATGTAATGGTTTTAGAGGAAGAGGCAGATTTTGTGGTAACTTATGTTAGGGTATGTACAAAAATCTGGTATTCAGTGCCTTGATTAAATATGCGTGGGTGTTCAGCCTTTGTGTAATTACTTCTTTTTTTATTGAACTTCCTGCCTTCAAATATAACAATACATGCAATGGATATTATGGCTTTCTGTTTGATCTTCAATTTTTTGTAATAATTTACATTGTGTGTGTTACAGGCGACTGATGAAGATTATGGAATTAACGCAGATTGTACGTTTACAATAGTTGAAAGACTTGTAAAGTACGTAAATGAATTATGACAGTATTTAACTATTGTAATGTTGTTGCTTCATACAACCAAATTTACGACAAATAACAATAATGCAAATAAGACACATTTATTACTTTGATTAAACACCTCATAGCACGTGATACATAGCAGACATGTTCTTTGACATAGCAGACATGTTTTTCATCAAAATTCATTTTTTTTAAATGTCTCAACATAATACACATGTAAAGCGGATACAAAAACATATTCAATTAAAATCAGGAAAGTGAAATCACGAACCGCAAAACAGTACTAAACAAAGAACAATACACGGTCATTGAAATAATGGAAAATGGCGCAATCATTGTATTAATTCTATTTATTTATACACATTTATATTGTTTATAAGATAAGTTTCACACGTGTTAGTTGACATTTAGTACTTTTGGACTTATATTATCTCACTTGACAGCAGTCTAATGGTTAATTAGTTTTTCAAGAAATCTATCTGGTGACAATAAACTTTGCTGTAGAACAATATATGAACTCATGAATAGTTACTACAGTACTAATTGCACACCATCTCGTGACAATTATTTACGATACAAAGCTGTCGCAAATAATGTGTTATTCTTGTTTCTCTAGTGATTTTACAGTCCACAACATAACTGGGGAAGTGACAACGCGGAGAGTTCTTGATAGGGAACATAAAGAAACATATGAAGTATATATTTTGGCAATTGATCATGGTCGAAGTCCCCGTTCTGGTGAAGCATATGTGACAGTTACTCTCATTGATGTTAATGACAATCCACCAATGTTTGAATTAAATACTTATCGGGCCACCGTGGTTGAATACATATCAGGGAAATTTATCCTTTCGGTGAAGGTAACAATTTATACTTGTCACTGGTTGTTATCTTATTTCAATCTACTTTTTGGTCCAATAACAAGGCAGTTTTATGTTTTGGCAAAAACGTTCATGGTGTTGACAGTTTCATTTCAGTTCATTTCAGTTCTTCAATGAGGTTGAATTGTCATCGTCGTCTCAGCGTTTTAATTGTAAATATAGTATGTATTGTAGGGAATATAGTGTTCAGGCATACTATGTATAGCAATACATGATTTGTATTTGTTTACGTCAAGTTTGTTGTAGTAAACTACTTTCATTGTTCCTGCACTTACCTACATTATGATTTTGGAGTTATGTAATAATGTATACTTTTAAATGGGTATTGATGTTTAGGCAAAAGACATGGATGTAATGGATAATGCTGCCGTGCGTTACGCAATCATTCCTGATAGTCATACCGACTATAATTTGTTCACTGTGGATGCAATGACTGGCAATGTATATTTTTCATCATCTGAGTCTACTGAGAATGTGGGTGAAAATCTGGTGGTAATGATAGAAGCTTATAATGAAGTACCATACACATCGGATGATATTCTTAATGGAACAACAACTGTCGATGTCACAGTACTGGTAAGACAATGACTAATTCAAGCGAGGAGCATTTATTACAGCAATGCAGTTATTACAGCAATATAATACCTAGTCAACAAAAAAATAAGCCAAATTGCATGCACAAGTTTACCTGTGATAAAATACTATCTAACTATGTATGAAATTAAGTACCTTACATCTGTATCGGTGTATTTGTTATGTAGAAATATAATCATAGTGTCTAATTGCTTTGTAGTGTTCTACCACAGTGACGAGATACCATAGTGAATCAGACTGGTGGATGTGGGTAGTTATAATCACTCTTGTTGGAATCGTCACCTTGATAATAGCAGCATCGCTAATAATTATAAATCGCAAAAGAAATTATCAGCATGTTCGAAGAGAAGCTTGTCATGAATTACAGATATTTGAACATCAGGATTACGAGGAAATTGCAGAACACGTAAAATTTGACTCCATTGGTGAGATATTGCACTGTGTGAATTGATTTTTCATTTTTCACACAAATGATAATGAGAACCAGTCTGGCGATATAACTAGTTGAGAAAGACAACACATAGTTTTTGTTTATTTCATAGATATTGCAAAAGCAAAGCTGCTTGACTCATTAGATGAAGATCTTCGAATCGAGGTTGAAGATGTTCTTGTCTATCCACCCATTGACGGTGTCGTTTTGAACATTAAACATGTCATTGGAAAAGGTAAATCAACAGTATTTTGAACACAATTAATATACCTGAATCACAGATATATATATTCATATGACTTTTCGCGAGTACTTTTTACAACAAAAATATCTAAAAAATCAGTAGTGCTGGGTTAATCAAGGTTTGAATGTAGTAAATATCTTACTGTTGTTTTGAATAACATAATATAGAGTTTATATAAATAAATATAAATGCGTGTGTTTTACTTGTTTTAATGTCATTTTGGAAAGGTGCATAAGGCTGTGCTCAAAAAAAATAATGGGGAATCGAATGATGTCGCTGTCAAAACTATGCAAAGTAAGGATTTCACGTCATGTCATTTCACAAAATCTCATCTATTTGATTGATATAATCACCGGTACGTGACAAATATGCGCGTAATTCTATGTTTAATTAAACCTATTTTGTCATTTGTTTATGGCTATTTAATGTTTAAATCACACTGACAATAATTTTACTATAATCTACATGTTAGCAGCTTTTTGAAAGAAGGAACTATCATGAAAGACTTTGATCATCCTAATGTGCTGGGTTTGATTGGAATATTCATTGATGAGAATAGCAGTCCATCCATTGTTCTGAAACAGTTTGTTACAAAATCTACGAAGGTAGACATTGGTTAAATGTTTAATACTTATCCATCCATAACTAAAATTAAACTGAACGAATATATATATGAATAAAAATCGAAATTTGAGATAATGATAGTAGATACTTTAGATATAAAACTTATGATGCTAATATATGCTTAACATACAAAATGCATTCCTGGGGCATCAAAGACATACATAAAATTAAAACGCAAAATATTTATGTCATTCGCCCGATATTGCATTTTACGTTTCTCATAGTGAACTGTATATATATATATATATATTACATAAACTAGGAATTCACAGTGGCTGAATTATTGACATTCGGACGTCATATTGCTTGTGGCATGGAGTACCTATCTGGGTTGCGATTTGTCCATAGAGACCTGGCTGCACGGAACTGCATGTAAGAAAACTAATAGAATGACACTTACGATATAGATGTGTGTTATTAGATGTCAAACCCAATTATGCATTAATTGAAAATATTCCCCTAATGCAAAACATTGTTTTTCATCTTCACTGTGTTGTTTAAACAATAGCACATCTGATGAAAAATGCAGTGTTGTTTTATGATGTTGTACATCACGTACTACTCCAGTCATATTATATCTTAAAAAGGCTCTGGAATAAATACTACTAAACACATGTTATATATATAGGATTGACGAAAACATGGTAGTAAAAGTGGCTGATTTTGGTTTGTCCCGAGACGTCTATGAAAAAGATTATTACACCATTAAGAACAAGACGAACGCATTACCTGTGAAATGGATGGCGCCGGAAAGTCTGAGCAAAGAGACATTCAACACCAAGACTGATGTTGTGAGTTACAGTTAAGACACCTGATCAATAATGAAAACATAACAAAAATCATAACATTGATTATAAATAGTACAATACAAAGTATACACATTGTACACTGTGATAAGGCTAATATTTTCCCTCCAATTTGCATTGTGTATTTTGTAGTGGTCTTTTGGTGTTGTACTATGGGAACTTATGACGCGTGGTGCAAATCCATATCCAGGTGTCGACAATCTAGATGTGTCACGATTTCTGTTAAGAGGTAATAGACTGTCGCAACCAGAATTTACCCCATACGAAGTGTATGTATACTGATCCTTTTACATAATAATACACACGTGTGTGCACGTCATATAAAGTGATCTACGATAGCAACGGCATTCTCTGCATGTGTTTGAGTGTTCACAATATATAAATTTAGTTTGTGATGTGTACTGTTTATGTATCTCAAAATCTTTCACTCAATGTTTATTTATAGGTACACGGTTATGACATCATGTTGGGATATAGACCCAGAGCAGAGACCTGGGTTTAAAGATCTTGTCTCGGAAATGGACAAGCTACTATCTAAAATATCATCTGGCAAAGAAAACTCTTATATGAGATTAATACGTTCATCAGTGACTGATCATAACTACATGAAACCCGTTTTGTAAATATTGTACCTAGTAGTATAGTCCAGTTGCAAAACTGTTGGTATATCCATATAAGGTTTAATATATAACGCCTTGCTTATAAAGTATTTTAACTCACACTCTGGTCTACAGATACGCTATGATAATATATGTAGGTAGTTTCAAATTATCCTGTGTTATGTTTTGACTGCCTCCAATGTTACATGCTTGAATATATTCCACAATACAAATAGTGTATCCAGTAATGTACTATATTATAAACCAAGTTACGTTTTTCATGACAAGGAAAATGTGTTTCCTTCACACGTTTTGTTGTCATTGGAATGTAATGCAAAAACAAATGCATTTTCAGTGTTGTTATCATATATTCTAAAATTGAGTTTATAGATGTTATATTTTTGCCATGTTGGCATACAAAATTTATGAACATAACAGAATTACTGATCACTGATACCATAGCATATGCACCAGTACTAGTAAATATACAATCACACATATATATATATATATATATAATTTTTGCCACTATAATGGTATTTAATTTTTTGTAAATATATTAATACAGTTGAAAAATAATACCATAGTAATTACGAAATAGCAACAGTAAGCCCTAACCCATATTTGCGAAACAATTAAATATAATATCTCGTTCATTCATTTATGCTTGTCATTCCAGTTTGATTTGCAGTACGCATAATTGGAAAAGAACGGTCTGTTTTATTTTCTCTATGAAAAATATAAATATATAAACAGGCATAAACAAACGCCCTATAAATAATAGAACTGTGATATGATATGTACTGGTCAAACCACTGTGTATGCTTTTATAGCCAACCAATTAATTGCCGATAACACTAATAATGTTATGTTCTGACAACATAAGAGCAAAAGCATATTTTCAATTTTGTCATTATTCAAAAATTAGTTATTATCAGTATTTTTGTTAGTTTCCGACAAATAGAAATATACAACATTTTAAATTGAATAGAATTGCACGGAAACAGTAAAATGAACTAATCAAAGTAATATGATCAAAATTGCTCATTGACAGTATCACCAGATGTGTAATGTAGCTCATTATATGATTCTATGTTCACTGTTAGCATCTCCCCAACCCTCTCTATTGTCAACAAGGATGTAATACACACATCACCGATTGTCTCATCCACAACAAAGTATTCATAGTTCATAACATGTTCATAGATGATTGCATCAATCACAACGGCTTTTCTGGTGCATCAATGCAATTAACTTAGGTGATATGAATATAGTCATTGCATGCATTTGTAGATAGAGATGCAGTTTACCTGACAGATATTTTAATAAGTTAATTAGGAAACCCAGATGACCTCCCTTGTCCACAAAAACTATATATTTTCGGAAAGCTTATTGTATGAATTTTAAAATGTTGTTAGTATTTTTTATGGATACTGTAGTTTGAAATGTGCACAAAAATGATTTAAAACAAATTAGTTTCTGAACCATGCTTGTGTTTCCTGTCAAAATTTGTTTATGGGTACATCTGTTTACTATGAAGAAAGTGCCGTCATGAAAACTGTCTACCAGTTGTCAATTTTGCATGTTAGCAGCTCACATTTCACTACTTACATTTTATTTATAAATTAACACCAAGGCTAGTTATCTGTACGATTGTAACACTGTTCAACCAAAAACAATGCCCCGACGGCGTTTTGATGATAAACATATTGTCAATCGTTTGTGAAAATTTCAAAACAAAAGGTCAAAGCGTCTGGGAGCTATTTTTTTTTAAAGTTCTGGGATATTCACAATTCTACAAAATTTTAACAGTCTATAGCCAAGACTGTTATAATAAAAAGCCAAAAAAATCACTCCCAAGTGCCCACGAATCTGCATCTCTACCTTAAGTATCAAAAAATACATCGGCGATGTGTCTAATATAAGTACATTAACGATGACTAAAATAGCCTGCTTATAGTTTATTTTACCGCAATCAGCTCAATGATCTTATAAATGATTGTACATTGTGTTGATAAATGTTGACGAATTATCGGCATTAACAGTTAGAGCGTCAATGCCGTAGAATAATTTGTCTCGATCATCAGAAAAAAACATCACCGGTCTCCAGTGCAAGCAACCGTAAAAGGTGACAAGTGTTCTGTCAAACCGTTTAACGCTCCCACAGAAACCACGCAAAATAACCACCTACATTAGGACACTGTATTTGATTGTGCTATTTTTGACCGGTGACGTCACCAGGAACGCTATAGAAGGTCTATTGTTGGTCGACTAAGACAATTGCTCAAGTCATGTTTTCCCCATAATTCAATATAATTGTATTGTATAATCATACGGCTCGAAGTACACAGGGGCAACTTATTCAATTTATATTTGCATTCAAATCTATTATTTTTTTTATTATTTAACCTTTGATTATATCAGTGCTCGTCTTTTGATTGCTTCCAAAGTAGGACTCGAAATTTAAAGCAGAACAGTACTCTGAGACCTGAAACTGCGGACAATACCTTAAAAATCTTTTTAAATGACTCAGATAATCACCAAGCAAGTGCATTAACACCGATTAGATGGACACTATATATTATTATTATTATTATTATTATTATTAATATTACTATTATACAGGTTTGGCACTACAACAGGACAAAATATTACACATGAAATCTGAACAAGTGTCACGTTTTTGTGGGATTGGTTGATTAAACTTGACTAGAAGTAAACAAATTCTGTGTAGTTTCTGTTGTCGAACTGATAATAATTTTACTCACTTGCCATTTTTATTTTCACAATAAATTTTGAAAATTAAATCAGCTGAAAACACACACTCCGCTGCTATTATTTCTTGAGTTGACAGTGAGTAACCGAGGGTAATACTTGTAGACTTATACTCACTTGTGCGAATTGTGAATTCGCTTAAAGGTTCTTTGTTGTTATATTTTCGATGTTTGACCTCTGAATGTTGGCCATGAATTAGCCATTAATCAAAAAAACCAACTAACGACAATCAGGGTAATGCCACGGGCGGTAGGTTATCGGAGACCTCCATACCGTTGTAGTTATTATAACTTTCTTGTATTAATGCTAATCAATATAAATTATATAAAGCAGAGCAAACGTAGCAACGTAAGCTCTCAAGTTTATGAGGTTCAGTTGTTTGGATGAGACCAAGTGCATTTGTGGATTTGGTCCCCAGTGCTCTTGACGTGACCCTAGTGACGAAGTATAATTGGGGGTCTGGTCTTTAGTGTTCTTGAAGCGATTTGACGAAGCACAGTTCAGCACTTACCCTAAAAGACGTTTTGTTTTTTCACCCAAAAAAGTAATCGAGTAAGCAGCGAAAGAAACCTTTGTACACGAGGTAAGTATTGTAATTAACTCTTTATACCTCTAAGAGGGAGGGAGCTCGTACTGTGCTACTGTGTCAACATCAATATGACATATATTGGGCTCCACGCTGCCGTTGTCATAATGTAACCTATTGAGTGACTTGCTACGTGAATTGTTACCATGGAGATGAAACCATCTGTATCTAAGAGGGCACCCTTTACAAATTGAATTATGATTTTATTTAAAACACGAATAACATAAAACAAAAATGGTTTTCCTATAATAACGATAAGTATACTACTCTTTCTGGCATTATGATATAGGTAATGTCTCATCAGCATATGTGCAAAATTATTGTTCTGTAATTTTTGAATTATACCATGAAGAAACATTAAACAAATTTAACATTAAATACAAAAGTTTATGTTGGCTAATCCAATTGCACAGACACAATAACCACGAGCAATTATATTATTTTTAAACATGTGTTTGTAATAAATATAATAATCACTTTAAACTTCTACATCTGGTCAATAATAATATTCGATGTTTCATTAAACACTATTTTTTAATTCAATTTCAGTCTAAAAGTAAAAGATATTCTTTCTAGTTTGACCAAAAATTTTAATCAGGTTACACGAGTTTGTAGTCTGTAGGCTCTGGCCTTTAACTTCTGTTTTTTAACTTTGTTTTAAAAAATACATAAACCTTTACTGTGCCATTGAGCTCAAAACCAAGTCTTACTCTTGTGGATCATATAAGGAACTTGTGTGCGTATTTTGCTGGCACTAGTTAGTTATAGTGTAAAGTATGCAACATTTGCTGTGACACTGATATAAATGATAAATGTACTATGTATTAAGTTGACTGATTTGTGTGAATGTTCTAGTTTTCAAAGCATCATTTGTGTTTCTGGAGTTGGAATTACAGCAGGCATTCGTATGTGATTAGTAGTTTGTCGTATAACGTGATTAGTGTACATACACGTGTTTCTACTAAATATCTAAAACACTCATCAACAGTGTCAGGCTGGCGTATCAAAATGTTGACATGGTTATCAACAGGAAACGTTTGTTGTCATTACAAATTGTTGAATATAAAATAGTATAAAATGTTTGCCAAGCATGGCCCGTTTTTGCAACCAGGTCTAATCATTATATATTTTTCAACTGTTGATATAATGAGCTCATACGTAAAATTTCCGTTCATGTCATCAAATAAATTATTATAAGACTTCTAGACACATCCACATTTATAATACCACATAGAACTTGAAATATACATGATTGATAATGAAATATGTATTAGTGGGTATGGCATATCCTTGTTGCTGTTTAGCTTTATATTGCCTCGTCTGCGTTAACTAGGAATTCCTAACGACTATGATTTATATAATTTTATTCTAGTAAATTGGTAAAATAGGCATACTATTATTATGTACAGATATTAACATGTATTACATGTATTAGTGGATATGTTATTTGACAAGATTTATTTTCATTTAGCATTTTTAAATGCACGGGTAGTCGAATGCGAGCACTTCCCTGTTGTAAATTATTACGTATGGTAACTCCCCAAAACACACAGTAAATGAATGAGCTATAAAAATGCACTGCAGCTCAAACATTTTGTTTTTGAGATGGTAAAATAAAATTAGTATCTAGGTAAAAGCATTTGAACAAATGTTATTCCATTTTTAATAATTCCTTTTGCTAAACGCAATTGCATGTGACTATTATGTCTCTTTTACTTCATTTTTCTTCATTAAAATGATTTAGTATGCAAATAACATTATATTAATTAGCATGTAATGCTAGGATAATTGGTCTGTAAATTGAGAACTTGCAGAGTTCATCTTTTGGAAGTTATCTTTATTATAGTAAATTAAAATCAACAGTTTTCGTGAAGGGTGCTTGAGAATTATGATTCATTCATCTCATCAACTAAGCAACGCTTTTCACACACGATTTGAATACTTTATAACATGTGAGAAATTGAAACGCCAGTTCACCTTAAATCAAACACCATTCCAATCTGGGTCATGCAACGGATAGTATGCTCAGACATACCGTCTGCGGCGCAGTAAGTTTAGTTTAATAATTAGCCACAATGTAATCAATGTAAACTTTATAACACATGAAACACATAGCAACATAAGTTTGTAGACTTTCGAGGCTTAGATATTTGGGTGTGACCTCGTATAATTCTGCGTCTGGGTCGCTGAAGATCTGTGTGGTTTTTTTGTCCGTACGAAAGAATTCAATTCCGTGTGACACTGGACAATTTAGCCTGTGTGTTAATGGAGTTCACAGAGGCAGTAACCTTTGGACATTAAGTAAGAATTTTTATTTATATACTGTATAGTGGTTAAACGTAGACGGTTTGCACAATTACATTTATGAAGGCTGTAGCAATATTTCTTTTCGCGGAGTTGTGTCATGTCTATTTCTGCTTTTTTTCATTTAAACAATTGTTATTGACAAGCCATAACGAAAACAATGGTGCTAGGTCACTGTGAGCAGTCAAGCCAACTCGTGATATACACTTGTAAATAGTGACCTTTGTTCGTCGCAAGCACATATTTTTGTAGTGGTTAAACGTAGACGGTTTGCACAATTACATTTATGAAGGCTGTAGCAATATTTCTTTTCGCGGAGTTGTGTCATGTCTATTTCTGTTTTTTTCATTTAAACAATTGTTATTGACAAGCCATAACGAAAACAACGGTGCTAGGTCACTGTGAGCAGTCAAGCCAACTCGTGATATACACTTGTAAATAGTGACCTTTGTTCGTCGCAAGCACATATTTTTGTTTTTTACAAAAAAATCAACTAATGCCGTAAATAGCAGCGTGACGAATTCTGCAAATAATTAGTAAAATTAGCACATAACAAGGCATGAGAAAATCGTATCTACAAGCTTGTATATAGCCAGTACATTGCCAACAAATTTAGAATATCTTGCACTGCCTGAGAGTGAACTAGATTCCAAGGTTCAGTTATTTATTCGAGTAAAGGGTTGATTCGGCAATAGAGCCAGTAGCTAGAGATACCAATACAGATACAGTCTATATTAAACATTTATATTTGTAATTGCCTAATTTTCACACTTTTTACGCTAATTTACATCTTCATTGGTTTTTGCCACAGGGCACCTAAAGTAACAGTTTATTACAATACCATATACTTTCACGGAGAGGTTTTTGGTTTCTATGGAGATGAGTAAACAATGTTTTTTTTAATATTGTAAATTTTATTGAAATAGAGATACTAGTAACTTAAAATGCTGACTGCTTTATATGGCTTTATTTTACATGCCAAATGTACCATTCGGAAGAAAAGATGTATAATAATAAGGTTATTACGAAGATACCTCAAAGTATGTACGAAGACGGCGTACTGTATCCTCGTAATAACCTCATATTATATGTTTCATACTAATCACATGCTCATATGTGTTGTAACTAGCCACTAGTACTAGTAGTTACTTGTATTTATATGAATGTGAAATTGATTTCTCCATTGTATTTTATATTCTCAGATACATTATGACGACAAAGCTAATGGAGCCACGTAAGTTGATATGCATCATTATTATCTAAAAAAAATGTGCGTGTCTGTTGTAAACACTAGGTTGGACATGTCCATGCAGTATGATATCATTTTGACAACAGTTCAAATGCAATTTCTATTATACACTTTGGTGATTTAATGGTTGCATTGATGTAGATATCTTTCACATAGAAAATTATGTATGCTTCATGTAGACGTGTTTCTTGTAGACTGTCATTTCAGTGTGTTATAGTGCACGCACAATCGTCTGGGGTTGTTAAGTAATAAAGTATTCTGTAATTCCAGGTCGGACATTATTAATTGTTTTGATTTTGCATTGCGTTGAACCTGTTCAAAGTAAGTAATTCAATATAATAATATATACCACCCATTATGAGTCAGATTTTGAAAATTTATTTCTAATGATGACATTGACACATGTTGGCCAATGAATATTATTTCTTGAATGTTGTACCCCGAAACCGAGTAGAGCGAGCATGTGTTCGTGACACATACAACATCATTTGGTGAGAGGTTGCATATGTTACAAATTGAAAATGCGAACTTAAAAACAACAGTTTCAATCAAGTAATTTTCGCTCTCTTTGCATTATCAACCTATTTCCAGAGAAGTTAACCTTGAAAAAAAGTATCCCATTATAGTAAGTGGTATCACTGTTCTAGTATTGTCTACTCCGTAGTGGTGATTGTCACTTAGGGACCAATCAGTTTTTATGGCCGGGGCTGGACCGGAATTTTTTTTGTAAATGTAGAAACTAAATCAATAACCCCCCTGTATCCCCAATGAAAATTATGGTGACCCCCTGGACAAAGACTAAAAGTAATGTGACACCCCCCCCCCATTTTCAGTTCTTTTCAAAATATGTTTATAGTTATTTATTTAATGTTGTTATAGTTAGTTGGTATAGATTGGCTGCATACTATAGTCATTGAGTGAAAAATAATTGTTTCTACAAATCAGCAAAATACTGCATGTCTCCAAGTGCCTGCTTGTCTCCCAGATCTTGTTGTCACTGTATACCGCACTTCACTGTGATCCTCCTCTTTACTGGCCAGAAAGAAAGTTGTAAACATTTTTGAGGAACTCAAACTTTAATACTGTATACAGGAGCAGGAGTTGGAGGAGGAGGAGGAGGAAGAAGAGGAGGAGGAGGAGAAGGAGGAGGAAGAAGAAGACGAAGAGGGGAGGAGGATGGAGAAGTAGAAGGAGAGCAAACTTTTAAGTGAGAAGGAAGAAAAGGATGTTATAGAATACAGTTTAAAGAACGAAGAGGATAAAAAGGAGAAGTAGCTGGGAAATATAGGAATATAAATAAAGTATAAGATAAACCAAAGATTGTTATATTTTATATATATTCTATATTACAAATTTTTTATATCATACTTTATTGTGTTTCCTGTAAATCCCCAATACTTTTAGTCATGTGACAGTGATTGCTAACTGCAAATAATTAATAGCTTAGAATCTGTCAACCTATTTATTTCCACTTACTAATATTTGTTTATTATGGTATAATTAACACATTTACATAAACCACTTTTTATATTTTTATTTATTATATTTTATATTTATATTTATATTTATTGTTTATTATATTTTATATTTATATTTATTGTTTTGTAGTCAATATAAATTATTTGACATATAACCGTCCATACTTTACAATGTGTTGTCATGTACTGTATTTGTCAACATTTACATTGACATTGTTGCAATTTATAATTAGTTTATTTCTGTTTACAGTTTATATTTACAAATCACATTCCAGCAACAGAGCGTGTTGGGCTTTTTTCACATTTAATGTGTTGGCATTAATTGTTGCAATATTGTCAATATTCCATTGCACAAGTTTTTATATCATTTGCTGTCATACACCATAAATTGTTTCTGTGGTGCACCGCAATAAATTATAATTAAAATACCGATACTTGCTAGTGTAATAATTTCGAAATGCTATATAAATACAATGCAGATAATACCAGCCTTGAAAGAAAGTAACAGTTTATACTTGCAAAATTCTGTGACGAAAGAGTGGCATGTTGTAACTTATAATTTGCAATATTTTATAAATAAGGTGACCCCCTCAAATGCTGTCTGAAAAAGACTGACCCCCCTCTTGATACTTCAGAAATAAGGCCCCCTGGAATTTGCCGGCCCAGCCCCGGCTATAATAACTGATCTGTCCCTTAGTATCACTGTGCATGGTAGGCAAACATTAAACACAATCGTTGTTAACATACTATGCTGTGGTTTGTATTTTTAAGGTGAATTGTGTGATTATGACGCTATCAACCCAGCAATAACAGACTCATATGAACAAGAACCAATTGGTAGGTACAACATACGTCAAATATGTTCACATTCACTGAGGGTTGTCAGTTAATTTAAATAATATCGTTCAGATTGTTAGGGGTTAGGTGGCGATTGCTTCTGTTTTCTTGCGACAATATCGGTTTCACGAAAACCGGGAAGTGTTCTATTCATCATACATGGGAGGGGGTGCTCAGCAATGTGAAACTGTCTTTAGCTGTTGCCACAAGGTCCAGATAGCATGTGTGTTACATTTTGATAATCTGTTTCATTGCAATAAATAAATTGTTGCGAGCCATACCCAACGACGACGAACTGGCTGGCAGTGACTTTGTGATTGTGGGACATGTAATGCTTACCAGTTTCTGTTTACATATTTAATTGCACTTGCCTTTGAAATGAACGAAAAAAAAGCTGTCACTATTTTACGGAGAAAAATTTCAACTCGCCTAGTATGCACGACAAACATGCTAATATGAAAACAATAATGATATATTTGTGTTTGTGTTGCAAGAATGTTTATTCGATATTGCAACTATGCTGGACTGAAACTATAATATTTCGCTCGTTCACTGACTCCGGCTAAACCTGCTGCAATGGAAAGGAACTTCTTAAAAGTTCATTGTAAACTCAATAAAACGTCAAACTCACAAAACTTAATAGCTCTGATGATTATATGCACTTGATTCAGACTTTTCATTACAAGGTGGAATGAGTTTGTTCATTGAGCTAAGCATTATCTGTCATTGTAATAGTGTGATATTTTACTACAAATATTGTACTCACCATGAGATAATTTACATTTTGTATCACTGCTATTCGTTACAGGTACCATTATTTACAGTATTCCTGTTGAGGGAGAGGTAGGTACTGAGATTGAGCTCAGTCTATCAGTGGAAGATGGTCATGATGACAAATTTGACCTGGATATTCAAAATATTACTTGGGCAGTGGTATATGACATGGAAGCAGAAAACGTGAGTACATTCATTAGACAATTTACTCAAATCACTGTTTATTGTGTTTTGTCTCATAATATATATATATATATATACGCGTGGGTGCGTGTGTGTGTGTATTCATTTTTGTGTTTTTGCGTATTTGAAAGTGAGCGTATATACATCATTTAGTTGTATTCTATTGGTAGTCAACTGGTCTCTCCCAAAAACGTTGGGGTGGAAAATTTGTTTTCTCTGAATGTCATATTCATATTAAAGTTATATTCAATATTGTATTGAAGTAGGTCAAACCAATTTCAAACAATTTAAATGTCATTGATGAGTCTGCCGTCCCAATGATGATTTTGATAACTTATTTAAGCTAGTATTCGTACTGCGTATTATCGGATTGTTGAGCTATTAGGGCTATTCGGTTAAATGTTAGCATTGTTGCCTGTTCAGAAATTAAATAGTGGTCCTCTTCCACACTTATTACAACACATTCAATTGGATCATTGATTTGGCTAAAAGAGATAATCCTGCAGGTTTCTATTTTCTTTGATATGCTGGTAGATAATGTCATCAACCCTCGTCTGAAGTTGGTACCCAGTGTGTTTGCTCACTAGATCACGAATTCCAGGGTTTGTACCATAAGAATATAAACTGTTCATGTTTTTGTGTATTTCAATTTTAAAAGTATTTTCATACGTCCAATGTTGTTTTTCATATAGTGTCTCGACGAATTCACCATAGATGTCACCTGTGAAGTAATTGTTAGTGGAAGAACAAAAGTAATTATTGCCTTTCTTGTTACAGTAGAGTTATTTATTTAGGGCTACAAAACAGATTAAAATAGTGAAACAGCAAGGTTGTAGCAATATTAATAATATAATTTATAATTGCAATAATTGAATATAAAAAATGAGTAATATTGAAAAATAAATTATTGAATAAAACGCGTTGTAAATTGTACATTTCTCCAGGTTGGTGCAATGTCCTTATAAGCTGCGTTGACCCCATTGAAACATGCAGGCCAAATAAACGTTGACAATCATAACAATCGTTAATAGATAATGGATGAATAATTGATATTATATTTCAATAATTAGAGTTGCATATCAAAACCAAGGTGTATTTTGTGATATGAAATATGGATTAGTCTGACAACTAGTTCATGACCGTGAATATTCGCCTCTTTGTCTACACTGTTAATAGACGTTGAACTCTGTGTATTGATAAAAACTGCCTATTTGTAACATCACTTCTACTAAAAAAAAGAAATGAACGGAGGCGTATTGTTATTTATAGTAGTGAGCTAAAAACGACCAATGAGGTAAAGGGTAATTAAATCTACTATGACAACTTAATTTAATCACAATTATTTTTGTGTTTTAGACGTTGACGGTAATTGTAGGCATTGCTGATGTTAACGAATTTCCGCCTGTATTAGAAGACTCTCCTTATAAAGTTAACATAAGTGAGGTGAGGAACGTGTGTAGTAAAGGCAGATTTGGTATGATCACTCATTTAATCTTATTCATGATATAACAAGCTATTACTCTATTATAGAAGAGTTTCTCATATACATATATATTAGGAATACTATAAATGTGTTAGTGGTGTTAGTGTTACTGGCGATAATTAAAAATGAATGTTTAATTTCAGTTCACACAATTGGGCACTACTGTACTTATATTTGGTGCAACAGATGAAGATTGCGGTATTGTGCACTTATATTATGAAATAAATAAGGTTAGTTTATTAATTAATTAATTAGCACATAATTTATAAATTTTGTGTGAATATCGACTTCTCTTGAAATTGCTTAACATTAGGTAAAATTGTTTTGTTTGAATAACACAGTGACTTTGACAATCTGACCGTTTTCTTGTTTGTTGTTAACATCTTTGGTACAATTGGAAAAAATAAAAAGATACCACGTTTACACATATTTACGTTTTTTTTATTAACGTCAGATTTTAATCATGTCATGTAAAAGTGTAAAGACTTTGATCAGTTTCAGCGGAGGTACAACCATATATAATAACTATTCAAAACTGTCTATAAAATTGTGATCTATTATTTTTTCTTTCTGTAATCTTAGGGACCAGGATACAACCTTTTTGATATTCCAAGTGTAGGTACCCCAGAAGTAATTCTTGTTGAAGAAGTAGATTACGAAGAAAACACATGGTTTAATATAACTTTGCTTGCTAGAGACGTGAGTAAAACCGTTCACTCGACAACATACTATGGCAAAAAGTCAGTAAGGTTTTTAATGACATATGTCACATGTATGGCTAGCTGAATTTTCAGAATCAAGTAACATATGTTAATATATATTTGTAATCAACATGTAGCACATATTTGTTGTTCATTCTACAATTCGCATTATCAATATTAAATTGTAAATTAATTGCTATCACTCTGAATTGATAGTTAATGTGACCCAACAATGTTGTAAACCACTCAATTATGGAGAATAAACAGTTAAATAGTTGTGCTTAAATAATTAGTTATATTTTAGTAATATAAATGTTTAATGTAGTAATATTATCTGATAGTATTAGTTTTCTTACATCTATTTTAATTGAACGCAATCCAATTTATTCTAGAGCGATGACGATGACGCATTAACCGGCACCGGGGAAATGCACGTCTCTGTCATAGATGGTGACGATATGAGGCCAATATTTGGTGACATAACCTACAATACCATGGTTACAGAAAATGATGCAAACGTATTATTGCTACCGGAATTCCCAGTAAATGCATACGACCAGGATTTCGGAATTGATGAAGACCTAAATTATAGTTTTGCTGGTTAGTGATCTCATTATTATACACATTTTCAATAACATTTAAAAACCATTATGAAAAATACATCTAATTTGAACTTATTATTAAGCAATCTGGATGTTAAGTGAATAACATCTGCATTGTTGTTACACACAAAATGTTATATTCAACATTTTAGTATGTACACACATATAGATACATGTATTCATGTTTTGAATCGCAGATCCTGAACGTACTGATGACGCCATATACGAAACAGAATATTTTCGTATTAATGACATGACGGGAGAGGTTACCCTTATTAAGGAACTTGACAGAGAAGCGTTGCCTGGTGGCACTATAACAGAAGTACTGAGAGTTAGTGCAATTATATTGTCAACATAGATTATAATATTACTGTTGAGTAAACATATTTTCCTCGCAAATTAGATTATTAGTACCAGCTAATAGACGTTCTTATTGCACTTTATAATGTTAATTCTTATTTATAGGCTGCACAAGTAAATTCCATGGGTTATCACGTCTATACATATCGAGATGGTTATGCCACATTGGTAGTAACAGTACTGGATGTTAATGATAATATTCCTAATATGAGTAAACCTCTATATTATGGCGAGGTTGCTGAACATTCACTGCAGGATACTATTGTGTGTGAAGTTAGCGCTACAGATATAGACGAAGTATGTACACTATCACACATAACATATTTCCTATCGCATTCTTTATGTGTAATTCTCTCGGGACAACTTGAATTCAATATACAAGTAATGCGTATATCAATACAGTTGATAAGTATGAATTTCAGTCTCTCAATAATCTATCATTTTATTTTTTGTTATTCAGGGAGAGAACGCCATATTTAATTTTGTCTTACAATCTGACTTTGTAAACCATAACATGTTTTATATTGGAGATCCCATATCTATTACACCAAATACCGCAGTTGCTTTCATTCGTGTCAATGATTCAACGTCTTTGGACGCTGAATATATCGCAAAACCAATTAATTTTACGGTGAGCGTAATTTGCATTTTCAAATACTATTTTGACGTTGAGCACGTTTTAAGTATCGTTTCTTAAGAATCGAGGTTTTCTCATAGAATGAAATACAATTTGTATATACCACAAAAGATATTGCTTCATCAACTGTACTTACTGTTTTATCCGAGCTTGATTTATAAAGCATTGATGCATGTTTTACATCACAGGTGTATGCAATTGAAACACAGACGAGCGAACTATTTCGAAGTGAACCATCAACTGTGTCGATCACTGTCAGCGATATCAACGACAACATACCACTGTTCGTCGGGGAACCATACATTGCAAGTGTTAATGGAGATATAACAGAAGAGACATATCTGATCACGGTATATATGTATCTAGACACATTTGCATTGGTTCATTTTTCAGTATATAGCGTTTCTTCAATAATTTATTGTTTATGTTTGTTTCGATTTTTTCAGGTTAAAGCTGTAGACAGCGATCGCGATGATAA